ACCAATTTAACCTCTACTGTGAGGTGCAAGCTGCTGATAGAGAAGAGAAGATTAAAATTGAGTATTGGTGCAGAAAACTAACCTTATCCTTTGGAGCTTTTTTGCTTCAACCAGAGGAGGTAAAATTGCATTTTGTAAGCAAACCAATAAAATATTCTATAAATATTAACTGCTATGGTTTTATATGCAAGTTTTACTGAATTTTAAAAGGATTTTTTTTCTGCTTTTTTTGTTAAATAGTCAAATGATAATGAATTTTTCAACTTTCCAGTTTAACTATCTTTGCTATTTTCATGGTAAGGAGTGAAACTAGGTAGCAAAATTCAAATAACATAACCCTGTGATAGGTTCAGGCCCAGAAAAGCAACTGGAAGAGAGTTAACTTTTACTTGTTGCTTTTTCAGACTCTATCTCCCACCCAAACTTACTTCATTTAGTATTCCTCTTCCTTTGTTATGGTGCCAGTTAAATATACAAATCTGTCTGGACTTTCTTAAATATTTAATAATGTTTACAGTATTATGTTATGTCTTATGTTCTATGAGTTCCCTGAGGATGGGCTGTGTCTCTAGTTTATGTTTGTAGAAACATGTTAAGAGAGAATGTAACACAGCAGCTGCTTGAATGAGTTTGGCTAAATTTATAAATGGATGGATATGTCCCGGGCTGAAGTTTAGATATTTCTGATCCATTTCACAAAAGAATTAAATTATTTATTTAAATCAGGTAATTACCAAAACATATACCTTTAAATCCTAAATCAAGAAGTATAGCTAATCATTAGTGATAAGAAAGACTGACATTTTTAGTAACACCTTTTCAGAGAGTCAGAACCATCCCTAAGGCTAAGGCTATGCACCCCTTCTTCAAAAGTATGCATAGAAAGAGTATATAAAATAAGTCTCTGTTAACTAAGATTTAATGTTTATTGTATACATTTTCTAAGTGTAGATATTTATTTGCATTTTTTACTTCCTTCTTTAGATACTCTGATTTTAATTTTTAAAAACCATTTAATTGTTATCTGAAACAAATCAGATTTTCTTTTGGTAAAAAACCTTTAGGCAATATTTAACACAAGAGTAAAAATGCCAAATAACATAATAAACAGGGATTTAATTTACTTCTATTCCTTCCAATATAATAGACCTCTATGTTTCATTGGGAGAAATAATTAAGTTTTTGTTTGAGAAAAAGAGTCACACAACTGGAAAATGTTAAGTTTCAATTCTCAAACAGCTTTAAATCAGAAAATCATGACTATAATTGCACATTGTCACCTTAATCAAGTCATTTATTTGAGTTTCTCTTCATAAATGTCAAATAATTTCAGGACTAATTTCCAGAGGGTTTTTTTTTGAGAGAGAGAGAGAGAGAGAGAGAGAGAGAGAGAGAGAGAGAGAATATCTTTTTACTAGATGGACACAACACAATGCCTTTATTATTTTTATGTGTTGCTGAGAATCAAACCCAGGTCCCGTGCACACTAGGCGAGCACTCTACTGCTGAGCCACAATCCCAGAACAGTGTTTTTTCTAACATTTTTACTTCAATTTTTAATCCTGAAATGAAGAGAAGTGATTTAAAAATTCAACTAAATGTAAATTTTTTCACACTTTATTTCACACTCATTAAATATCCTCTAATAAGGACAAGTATTATTATTCCCTTTGACAGAGAAGGAGATTAGGGATCATAAAGGATTATCAAATAATTTAGTCAAGGTCATATATCCAATAAAAAAACAAAAAACTAGAATACATGCAGATTTATTCCTTTTTCATTGCTCTTTTTGTGTTACCAGTCTACTTCTCTAAAACCTAGGCATGGTACGTACATTTAAACACACACACACACACACACACACACACACACACACACTTTTCCCTCATGTACACAGTAAATTTATAATAATTTTGACATCAGTAATTTCACAACTGTTTGGGTACTGACTCTACCTCAAAAAAGGCTAAAAGTACTGAAATATTGGTTTTAAGCCAATGGATAGCTCAAACCCTTACACACAACTTCAGTTATTTAAAGAGCCACAACAGGTCTAAGATAACATACCTTCCCTTCTCCATACCACTTTTGTCCCCAACTGTAGTTTCTACTGCACATACTGGCTTACAGAAACTGATTTAAAATAAAACGTGTCGTAATTATCTCTTGAGCTTTTTATTTACAATTA